TCCTCAGAGAAGGGTTCAACATATTTATATTATGTATCTGTTTTCGGCATATAGCCATCCCCTGGCAAATTTCCGAGGACGATTGACGTCCTATCCCCAAGATGTCGTCATCGTGATAATGTCGTTATCCTATACGAAAATTTATCCAACTTTGAGGATAAAAATCCAACTTTGAGGATGTTATCATCCCGAGATGGATCTTAACAAGTCAGATTTCCGAACTTCAGCGGACACATTTTTTTCATGGTGAATACACCATTATACTTATTTGTCATGTCACAACTTGTAGTTTTACAATGTTCAGGCTTATGGTGACTTCAGGCACCAAATACTGTCAAAACAGCGCCACCTTGTGTCAAATGTTGTCTAATGCTGCCTATCTTGAAGACCGAAGGTTTGGCCTGATAATACTCTACTGTACAGCCATTAACCAGTGTTAAATCTGAAGAGGGCGACGGATTTTAAGAGAGAGAGAGACATTTTTTATCCTTTTATTCGAGTACTGGTCCAGCTTGCTGGTAGGCTTATATTGATATCTGTAGCTTTTTAATGGATGTATTATTTATGTATTATTTATTTGGTTCATCTCAGAATACCTGTAATAGAGCGATTCGATGAGCATTGGTGTAGGTGCAATGCACTGTTGAATTTATTTGCATCAAATGGTCGCATTCCTCAGGCAATCAATTTAAGCTCCCTGACATTACTACAGCATTAAGTCGACATGACTGATCAAGCGAACAGTAGTGTGTATTGCATTGGGTCAAGATATAGTGCAGTACTAAAGACGAACCAGCCGGTAATAAGAACATATAACCATGGGCGTCGTGAGGGGAGTGAAGAGATCGGGAAAAAGTTGAAAAATGGGAAATGGGGAAGGGGAAAACGAAAGAAAAAACAGAGAGATAACAATAACCAATTTGATTGGCAAAAGAATCAAAATCAACCCGTTCCAAATCTATATTTTGTTATTGTCTGATGAGAAGTTGCGATCCTTCCGACGGACCAAATTCCCTCTCTCTACTCACATTTATATACCAAACCATTAAAGGAACAATACAATGAGCACTTTGTTAGGATCAATGTCTGTGTGTTTAAACTCTTCTTTGAAAACTTGGAGTTGAGTTTACTGTAAAGTGCACTTTTTAAACGCTCAAATCGACAAAACTTTTCCAGACAAGTGAGGGCGCTGTTAGTGTTATGTTTATCCAGAAAGACACCATCCAGTTTACATGTTTCATGAGTCAAAGTTTGAACCCCAACTTTGCTCTTCAAAAACAGAATTGCTCGCTGGCTTTATTGCCATACATTTATACAACAATAAGGTGCCAAAGGAAGTTGAAATCTGTGATGGCATTTTGTGCACAAATAAGTGCAACATTCAGGTTCAATGTCTCATATTACATCACAGTGTTTTTCATGAATATGCAAATCATACTAGCGTAAAAACCAAAATATCCCCAAATGCAGATAAGATAGTAAACCAATATTGCAAATGGGGTTAATTGAAACACAAAGGTGCAATATCAAGGATTTTAGTAAAACATTTTTATTGTGTGGTCCTTTTTCAGATAATAATAACATCACCTGCCCTAACTGTCGATAACAATACCAAAGAAGAATGTAGCAAATAATACTAGGCAAAAGAAAAAAAAAAGGGAAAAATTGGTTGTGACATTCCTCTCAACATTTTCTCCTCTGGAAAAAAACAGGTAGTTTGGGCCCCCTTTGAACAAATCTTGGCGACGTCTGCACATGTAACGTGGTGGGTGGGCACAAAAATGGTTATCTTTGAAAGTTTTTCGATCTGGATTGGAAAGTCGTTCGTAAGAATAGTGTGTTTCCGATTTAGCATTTTGACTAAAGAAGTTCCATACTGGTAGAGATAGCCTTTTTATTGGAACGTGATTGAGTTTCCTCCCAAATATTTAGCGTTGGGCAATATTGTGGGGTTTCGTTAAATCCAATTAAAACGAGTTCGCTTCCTGTCTAATGCGCTAAGTGACAGGATGATATGCATGCCGAAAGCCTGGCATTTTGTTGTAGAATTATCACTTATTACCATCTGTTGGTTGTGGGATAGGCTAATGTGTTTTGGGGAGTCAGTTCGCCATGCATTAGGCTTGCCAGAAAGAACAAAACACGGACAATTTATTTTTTAGGCTGGTTGTATTTCAAGGAAAGGATTAAGCATTTTGTATTTTTATTTCGAGCAAATTTTTTGCTTTGGATGCATTTATTACTCGAGTCTTTGTTTAATTATTTTTAAAAAGGTCATAACAGAAGACGTTTAAAGGGGTACATAAATCGTTTTGTTATATGTTTGTTTTGGACAGGGCTCACCATTGGCCTCTTGTTGTAGGGTGGAGTGAGGTATAGAGTGCTGGACGTGTAATGGGCTATGAAGGACGCAGATTAGACGAAATTGAGACGACAAAAATTGATTATAATCCCAAATCAAGGCTGTCAAAACAAACCACAAGCAAAATCGGGATGTTGAAAATGGATCACAAAAATGATGGAAAGTTAACCATTTATTTTTTATGATCCCCATGAAAAGATTTTGTTCATCTACGGTTCAATATAAAAAGACTTTGTTTTAATTCATTCATTGATAAGAAATGTGATGAGAGACGCTGCCACGTTATATCCATTTCCCTTCATGACTTCTACTGCTATTATTGACATGGGTGGACGTTTGTACACTCCCGTCCCGTTGAAGTTGTTAAAGTTACATCCAAAAGTAGATCACGCTCAAAACCACATCCAAAAGTTGATCACGCACATGGGCTTCATGAAGGGGGAACGGGGCACTTGGGTCGGTAAGAAATGAAAAATATAAAATGAAAAGAGAAAACAAATGAAAAAAATACGTACCTTTTTCATTGTTACTGATTTGTTAGTTCGTTACTGATAATTGCTTTGACCCTCACCGGAGAGTTTCCCTGTGAAAAAAGTGATTTGTCCTTGGAAAAAATACTGGTGAGGTTCATGATCACGCAGCTTTTAACTTGCATTTTATACTTTTTTTTTGCGTTTGAGAAAGATCTTACTTGGATTAAAACGTCAGGCCATCCTACTTTGGTTATTTGTATTTGAAGTCACTGTAGCCAGCAATTAGTATGCAGCCGTTTTTGTTTAATATATGCATTGTATACTTTGCACTTTGTTATAACGTTGGCAGCTTACCTTCTTGATGTACCTGGCCGTAATGAAAAAAGTGGTGAAGACTTTGGCATATTATTTCTGGGAGCAGTTGAAACAGAAAGCTATAGACGCAAAAGTGCATATAGTGTGATGTTTGAAATGAACAGTCTTAATTTTTGAAAAAAAAAAATCAGTAAATAAACTTAGTCTTTGCAAGGAAATATATCCAATATGCTATTAACGTAGAAACAAAATTTCTTGGAAAAATCGGTAAAAAGAGCTTCACTTTTCGGCTGAAGTTCAACAGAACTTAGGAAACCAAGACTTGATGGCCCTAATGGCCAAAGACGCCAAAAAGCAACGTAAATCATCCATCAGATGGAAGCAGCGTATGACAGTGTTACCTTCTGACGTGTGGGAGTGGGTGCGCGTCACAGACTCTGAGGAGACATCTGCATCCATTAAGAAATGGGCTTTAATTCTAAACGCCCTGTCAAGACACGTTTAGAACAAAGCTCACTCGTATCTTTCTCGTCGTAACTCATTTACAACCTATGAAAATATCACACCATGAAGTCAACCACAACTGTCAGGGAAGGAAAAATATAACCTTTAGGTGGATACATATGAAACGTTGATAGAAGTTGCTTATAAAATTGTTGGTTATTATTATAAGCATATAGGATTGATAAATTACTTAAAACTGACGTCCGATTTGCGTTCGTCCTTGAGAAATGTCACCTATACTAGGAATATGAATTCTTATTTGTAAAGGCTTGCAATTCAAACTCATACCTCATATTGCGTACATATATAGCATTAACAATAATTAATTTATAGTTACGTGTAACATTGCTTTCTGCTATACTTGCAGAGATTTTAAAGGTAAAAAAATTATAAATCGGGACATGCCTTTTGCTTGTTCTTGTATGCATTACAATACCAAATAGGCCTAGTATATTGCTCAAAAATTATTGTTGTTCATAATCAGTTCACCAATGATAGTAAAAATTGAGAATTAAAGTTTGGTGTTGAACAAAATGTTAGGAAAGGATCCTACACGTGCTCCCACGGGCGTCAAGGATGGGGTCACGGTTGACCACAACGTTACTGACGGACCAAAACGAGCAGTTACGCCGCTAAGAACTTGCCCAAGATTAGGCCTAACTGACCATCAGAAATTCCTAAGAGAATGTGATGGGGAGGCAGTTTCCTCAATACAAGCCATAATGCCCGCTGGAAGGGTGTTCAGGCAATTTTGAAACAAAACTTAATTGTAAGAGCTTCCTTAAGACATCCTTCTGTCAGAGTGCAAATATCGTGCTATACGATGGTGCGTGTACCTTTAAGTCTAAGGGCAGAGCACGCACTCGTACACCTGTTCCTGGCCTTGTAGTTGATGCAGTGTAAAAAGATGGGATAATTTTTCTTTAGCGTTGACCTTAACAATTTACATATGTAGATGACGAAATATTCCATTTCTGACCCATCCAGACTTGACTCAAGATTTTTGTCCAGCTGGCTATCCATTACACTCATTACAAAAATCGGGAGGTTTTTTCAGACACTGGAATTTGTACGTCGTGTATTGAATTAATGTTTAAGGTACGAGTGAGTTCTTAATAAGGCTAACAAAACTTTTATAGTGGAACCTCTGGCTTTGCAGATGTAAATTTTCATTTCTGATAATACATATCAGGAATAGAAAACAAAGATTACGAAAGATTACGAAGGCTTAGGACGTAGCCCGTCCAGGCAATATTAAGTAAGGTTTTATATCAACAGAGCGTTTATAATCGGGCTTTGAATGTGTGTGTGAATAAAAATGTTGATTTTTGTTTTCATTTCGACAGCAGCTTCTTGCAGCGACTGCAAAACCAGGATGTGTAACCTACACTGTCAGGCTCTTGCGGGTAAGATACATAATGCCTAAATAAGATTAGCTGAACTTCTGTTGTACCGTGTAATAGCAGAAGGCCTTACCGCCACACTTTATTCCCACACTAAAAACTTCCTAAAAAGAATAGGAAATAACTAAACAAAAACAAAAATTAGTTGTAACCTTTTCTACGAAACTGTTATGTTCATTTTTCATTGCAATGGTTTTATCAAGTTAAGCTGAAATTTTGATAAGGAAATCACTGTGCATTATTTATACTCGTTGAACGTGATACCTGTTTCCTTCAGGTTCAATATTCCGGTATAACAAAATTTAAGTATTAAGTATTTATATTAAGTATTTATATTTAAGTATTTTCATTTACGAGGAAAGACTGACCCATTAAAAGGGGCTGTGTGGCGGAGTCAGCCTACTGCCGTGAGATTTGTCCCGTTATACTGTCGTACAAAAGATGCATTGGGAATTTGTGACAGATAGATTTTCCCACTTGGTCGTTCCTGAAACTTTTCATGCATATAAATCGCTCATAATGAGTAATCTGTGAATTTTCAATCTAGTCGACTGTTTCGTGGTTATTTATAGGCCTTGGGTGATAACGACATGTGCTGTGATGATGTCAGCGAAAATGTACGAGGGCAGGCAAATGCCTGGCATTTTTCACTGCAGCTTTCTTAGAATTTGTGTTTTGCCAGAGAGCACGTTTCTTAATGGTTGTCTCGCTCGGTCAAATTAGAAACACTTGATCCATTTTCACATTTCTCAAGCTTAATTCGCACAGGGTTTTCATGGAAACACTTGTTTACTTATAGGTGCAGTAAAATTAGTGAAATAGCTTATAATACTGCCGTTAATTTGATCACTGTATATAAAGTTGCATATTAATTTCAAGGTGATGATCTTAGCATAACAGTAGACATGATGTATTAAAGTGATTGTAATTACATTCTAGCTACTGAACATTTCATTTTCGTTTATAAATATCGTTTACAATTCAGGCATCGTGTCAACACTGAAAGCTCATTCGATTTTTAACATAATGAAGTATATCATATAAGGGAGATAATAAGAACAGAATTGAAGTTTTTCTTATGTATATTTCCTAAGTAGGTAAGAGATCTGAGGTATCAAGTCGAGACCATCTAAATGAACTTCACCAGAATAAGGTGAGCACACGCAAATCGTCCCCTATTAGCGTCAACATGGTTTCACCAATTTGTTTTAATAGAAAAATCTTTAAAATTCTCGTTGCAATTACACCCAAGTTACAGTGGACATGCGATGCACAACGTGCTTTTGTCCAAAAAGTAACAGAAAGTGAACCAAAAAGATGTACTCAGGGTCTACGCGCTTGAATAAGCGCGAGAAAGACCCGCAGAGTTATAACTGTGCTTGATTTCTTGTTATTTTAGCCATCTCCGGGGATTGAATGGACGCGGAACCAGAGGTGCACACTTGATGCTTGGTTTCAAGAATTACCGCTCGATTGGCAGAGACACATTATCGAGGTGAGTGAATTCACGTTTCACCTGGGCCTTAACGGAAAAAGAGTAGAACGCCCTCACTTTCTTACTTCCCATAGCTTGGTTAGTATGATTTGTAGTTTCAAAGAGAACTGATCACAAAATCGCAAAACAAAAGATGCCACAGTTGTTTATTTGTCTTGGTTATTCCACCTAGAAACCATTGGCGTATTATTCGGTGGATTATTATAATTATTTTTTTCTTTACAAAGAATACCTCATAGGTAAGACAGTAATGGGAATGTTTCTGTATCAAATATTAGCACCAACATTCTAAGAAACCCGTACACCATGAAATAAAAACCGCAAGTAAGGCGTTCGATATATTTTTTCTCCCAAACATCATGTTTAATGAGCCCAAAGCCGCATTCGCTTTTGAATTTGCCTGCCCCCAACGCCAAAAGCCGGATTCACCGCTGCTAAAAGCCATGTTATGACCTACACTGTATTATTTTTGTATAATTAACTATTTTTCCCGTTATAACAACCAAAGTTATCTTAGTGAATTTTTTTCAGTAAGGTCAATTCATTCCCCCTTTTTGGAGAATTTACTGCCTGTTATTTCTTAAAGTTTCGGGGCCTATCACGTGAGATAAGCAGAAATAATTATTGGTACCATTCAAAAATAATAAATTCCACTTTTTGCCAACATCTTTAATTACATTTTCAGAGTCTCTTAAAGTCTGCTTCTATTATTCATTATCCATTGTTACTTCGTCTATGCAGTTATTTCAGCTAGCCTTAGCATACACGGAGCCGTTGTAGATTGAAGACGAGTGACCGTATATCTGCCGTATACACTATTGGAACTGATTGCCTGCATACGCAGTCAACTGCAACTTGCATGGAGTCTACACTTCACCCTGGATACTCATTGTGTAGCATTCTGCCACAGGAGGGCAGTATTAAAAATGACTATGGCATCTTGACTGACGCTTTACTGAGTGATGACTTCCTCCATAACCTACGAACTTATTTAATTAATGCACTGTCCCTGTGCACCGCAACTGTTCCAGCAAAAGGCACGCTCTTGAGATCCCACTGGGATGTTATATTTTTCACATGCAGTTAATCTTGACAGGAACTTCGCGATTGAATTTATCAGCATGCGCTCAGTCCTCTACGAAACACACTGGGATGATTATCAATGTGAAGAACCCATCTGATTTTTCAGCGTTTTGGGATCAAGGGGTGCATTCTACTCACTCATACGACGTCAGTATTTCCGAATGATTTCCATTGGATTATTGCAACTGTCCAGTGCCAGTTCCTTTGCAGGCTTAAGAGATTTGTATGTTGTATTGATTTGACAAAACAAGCTCTATGTCTGCAAAAGGATTACTGGGTTCAAGAAAAGTATTCTACAGTAGTCTTGTATAGTCTTGTAAAAGACCCATTGAAGAATGAAAAATTACTTAATTTAACGACCGAAAATAGTTTCTTTTACACTGTAAAAAATGGTCAGTGTTGGACATTTGTTATTTGCCCAACCTTGGTTAAAGTTACCACGTTTTGATTAATTTCCATCATTGTTGGTGAAACATTGATCAACGATTGGGAAGAATTTCCACAAGGTTGGGAAGTTGATATATACACCAACATTGGGTAAAATATCAACCAAAAATTGGCCAACCTTTTCACAGAAAACAAACATTTCTTGTATGAAAAGACGACTCTTTTAAATTACATCGATTACTTTACCACGAATGAATGATCAATTATTTTCCCCTAATCCCCTGAGTGCCCAAAGATATTTATAGCACTTAGTTTACCTGATACTCGAAGTAAGTCGGCAGTGCCACACACCTACCTTCGATGCATGGGTGTTGCAAAGTTTTTTCAGGGGGAAGGGGGTGAACCACTTTTATTCCAGAGGATTTCCAGCGGAAGCAAGATCATCAGCTATGAAATGATAAATATTAACAGGGGGGGCTAACATGTTTGAAGCACGTTGCTGATTTGGTCCCCATTTATCTCCATTTTTCATTTCTGCTTTCCCCCATTCTTTTCCTATTCTATTTTTCATTTTTCCCCGGGATTCGTGTTCAATTGTGTCACGTGTATATTTAGTACCGAGTTGAATTTAAGAGACACGGTCGTGAATTGTGATACAGCAGGTACTTTCTAAACCCTTCAAACCTAAACGACAGTTTCGGCAGTGCCAAAGTAGGCCTACGTCGGACCTTTCCTGTCTGAAACATTGGAAATTCAGTGACATCAAATTGCTCGTAATTAAGTTCAACAATTAGTTATTGTTGTAGGTCGCTCCACTGCAGACTTGTTTGATTTTTAGGGCGTATAATGAAGTCATTTACGATGTCGACTTTCCCGAGGCGATGCACCCGTAAAAACATGAATTTAACATGAATTGAAGAAGATTAACATATTTTCTCGGTATGTATGCGACACGCTACGTCAGTCGCCATCGCTTACTTCCTGCTGTCATATGTTTCGATTCACTAACGTCAGACATTAGCCCATAACCTGAGCAATGATGGCAAATACATATTCATCGTAGCATGATGATTCTGTCAGATGTACTCTGTACTCTGTCATTAAAGTTCTCTCCGACAAACGAGCTATATTCCTGGGGTATTCATACGCCCTAATCTTTGTTTAGAAGATCAAACTTTGCAACTATAACACGCCCATGCTGCAAAACCGTTCCAAATTGATCAGAATATTTTTATGCTAGAATGGTTGACTATACGACATTTATTGCAGTTGTTATATCATAGTATAATTTTGTGTTACCTTCAATTGCTATTACCTTGACCAAAGCTCACCTATGACAAAAACCACTAATTATACAATGAGTGACTTTGATACAAAGAACAGGATAATTTTCAGACACAGCTTATAATAATCTGAGTAATCAAATTATGCAAATTTATTAACGCATTGAAACTTCATTACTTCATTACAAATCGACTGTATTGACAGTTTAGACTTTTAACCTTGTTACATTAATATTCACATTTTATGCAGTGTCCAGAAAGTACTAGGATGATTAGGCCTAAACAAATACACTTGCTCTTTTTTCCCTTGTTGATTATAATACAAGTACGAATGATTATTGTATCAATGTTGTATGCATAATCTCATTTTCCCGACTCTAACAGTTTGATTGTGATATATTAAGTCGTGTCAGATTTGAACTAAACTGATGTAACAGTAATACATTAAATGTCAGGATACGTGTCATCGATATCATATTCATCATCTCCGCGTTTTTACGCAAACATTTGAGCGTCGACCACTTTTCACAAATGGTGATGGTGGGGAAAGGTCGGAAAAGGCCAGAACACCAGATCCTGATCAAGCTGTGCGGTTAAATCAAATAACCGCGTATAAAAGTATGCTTGGGCGTGTTTTCTCTTTTTTGGGGGGGTGGGCTGTCCTTTCTGTCCCTCACCAATCTACCATTGGTAAGATGCTGAGAAGCGGTGTTGAAGTCGAGTCACCTATGTCAAGTCAGAGTCGCGAATCACAAGCCTCGAATCTGAGTCCTGGAATCGAGTCCTATAACAATGTTGAGAAGTACACAGACTTACACATGTTATAGCTGGGATTTGAATGATTCTATAACAGGGAAACGTGTTACTAAAGCTTCGAAGAATCGTGGTTCGATTTGACGCACATTGCAATTTCACTTATATAATTTCACGTGGTATCTAGTTTGAAGTCACGTTGGTGCCTGTTCAAATCTTTAAATCCACTTGGTTCCCCTTGGGATGAGTCAATTTGTCCCCATATATTTAGGTCAGCTTGGCCCCAATTCACTCGATTTGGCGAATACAAATATACCCTGCCATGAGTATGAAAGCCCTAAGAGGAAATGCAACTAATGCCCAATGTCAAAATGCCACCCTTCAAGCTTCCTGGTAATATATCATTCGATATATTTTCCTAATTATTCTACATGTATTATCCAACAATATCTAATAACGTGCTTATAAGCGACGCTTACCACTGCCGACACAAAGCACTGAAATAAATGTATTTACCTTGAATAAAAAAATACTCTATGCTCATTGTGAACGACATTGAATAATCTTTGAAAACCCAACCAAATTGACTCTCGTGCAGCAGTCCACATGAATGCGTATCACGACGGAAGGGGAAGAGGTGAGCAAATTTGTTATCAACAGCCTTACACGTTAGTAACTGCAGTGATAAACTTGCTTTTAGTTTCTTGTTCCAGGGTTTAACAGCAATGCAAAATTAAAAAGCAAAACACATACAAAAAACAGATGCAATGAAAGAAAAGAGATACCAGTTTTAAAAACATTGTTAAGAAATCAAAAGTGCGCATCCTATACAAGAATACTTTTAATCTTCTACTTTCCTATGCATGCTAGATGGACCAAATTCTTCTTTTAGTTTTCGTATAGTTTACGTTACTACTACTTGTACATTGTATTTGGCTGTAATGGCCAAACTTGTTGACAGTGGTGTGCAGCCGGATTTTACCGTTCTGTGAACGGCTCTTCAAAAAACGAAATATATTGGACAGACAAGTTTGTGTTGAAACTACTCAACATGAATAATCAAACACAATACCATCTGTCAGAACCATTTACCCGTCTCTAAAGCGTTCAATGACCAAAGCAAATAAAATGAGGTCCCCAAAATCTTCTACGGTATCTTCTATCGGAATTCAGCACGTTCTTTTCAACAAGTTAAATTCAACAACTTCAATTCAAAATTTAAATTCGGGATCAGGCATACCCTTAATTCTCCACAGTGACGACGATTATTCAACACAAATTAACAATTACACGAATAAAGCCCAGTGGTGTATCTAGCTTTTGGTGGGTGGGTGAGTTTGTTTCTGCATTCAACTGGGGACCCTGAACAACAGAGGACAATAAGGTCCCCGATTGACAGAGGATCCCCGATTGACAACTGTGTACAAAACATATGGGTGGTCTTCTGAAAACGTTAAAGTACAAACAAAAGAGGAACAATAGGGGGTCCCCAGTTGCAGGCAAATACACACTGGGGTGTGTGTGTGTGCAATGTGTTCTTACGGCTCTGACCCATTCATGCAAGTACGTACAGGAGTTAACTCTGGGAGGAAACCGGTCTTTTTGGACCCTTTCACAGCCGAGAACTCGGCTGCTGCATTCTTGATCTTTTAGAACAATGCAGCGACACTACTCATCTGTGAGGCTTTAAAGGGTCCATGAAGACCTTCGTGGACAAACTGTTGAATGTTTCAAATACTCACCACTAGTCACCAGTATTCCTGTAACACGATGGTGGATGTAAAAAAGGGGAATAAAATTCCCTTTGTGATGGTTAATTTTACTGACCCCTAAAATGAACTTTTTAATCTTGACAAAATGATGGCGTTATGCGTGACGTACATTTGAGAACCCACAATTATAGTCGGGCGCCGTTTTGGTACGGCTGGAACGGTAAGGAATATGGTCATTAGACACGCATAATTTCTGTCCCCGCGGAATGTTTAAACGTAAAATACTTGTACATGTCCATATATATAATGCCCACGCGCCCTTTAAGCCCATGTGCACACGCGGTACAACCAGTGTATGGGCAATTACAAACGAGTGGGGTCTAAATGGGTTTGGGCGTGCTGGGGTGAGATGCAGAAATGAGCACCCACATTTCCTCTGTAATACCCCATTCATAACACAGCGTCTTTCCACTCGCCTCTCTTAACCAAATCCTACGGTCTGGTTTCTTGTTCTGACCCTGTTTTCACTAAATAGCAGAGGGTGTCAGCGAGTCTCTGGCGCTATAACCAGGTTGCTTCAGGTAGGTGGAGCTCGCCAGACTTGAGTGTCAGTCCACCTAGAAGGACCGTTTTAATTAAAATTTGGGCAGGTGGTGCCTTTTAGCCTTGGCCGGCCTGAGCCTTGTACCTGATCACATGAAAGGCTTTGGGAGTAAACTTTGAGGATAAATCCGGAGTGGAGGCCTAAGGAGGTTGGTAGATGCTCAGCACTACTTTCCGGCAAAACCTGCAGTGGAACTTGAACACTGACGTATGGGCAGCCCCGTGTCTCCATACCACCCTTCCCAGGCTTTTTAGCGCAAACTGGGCAGGCCATTTGTGACCGGGTGGCTCCACTGATAAAAACTCTGGATGAAGTTTTTTTTTATTTTTCTGTCTTGTATGTACTGTGTTTTCACTATGTACAAAGGGTATAGTTACAAGACATAAAAAAAAAACCGACAGTCGTGTGCCGGCTGGGATGGTGATAACCTGGACAAAATACAGAGGATTAATACAGAAAATTAAATAACCAATAAATCATGCTATCAAATAGCCAATTAAATTTACTAGTTTATTTAAGCCAGTAATTTCTTTAAAGAAAAGTTTTCTGAAGAAGAGCATATAGCAACAAGAGTTTACCCATTTCAAGAGACAAATTAATGAGAATGCTATCAATACCAGTCTCCTGGAATTTAAGAAAACTTTATTTTAGAGTGGACATGTTAAGTCATTCCACAGTCACAAGTTGAAAAGGTAAATGCATAAAACTAAGCTATGGCATTAGAAACGGCATAAAAAGTTATGTACAAGTATTTTATTCAAAAGTCCTACTTACCACCTGGACTGGCCGTTCATGCCTTTATTATTCATGTGCGGCAGAAATGATAGCAAGTGCTGCACAAAATTTGTGTAGATGCACGAGCAAACAGGTCGACGTGCGATAAATGTGGTAGCTGGATCGAAATCAGCCTTGTGCTACTGCATTACTTAACAAGTTAACTCAACGACGCCCAAGAATGCCCGATACGCAGCTGAAACTCAAGAATGCCCGGTATTCAAGTCGACGCCAATGAATGTCCGGTATTCAGTTTAAACAAAAGAACGACTTCTTAAATTTTGGATACGCGCGCAGTGACAAAAAAGTTTCGTGAATCGCTAGAGGGCGCTATTAATATTTGCGAGCAAGCGATCCAGAAAGGAGCGCCGCCGCGCACACCAACACGCACTACACCTTACACATACAAAAAGGTGGAGCGTGACTAAGAACAGAAGAAAAATTAGCAGGAACCGGTGTAGGGTAAGAGTAAAGAATACTAAAACTCGACCTGGTTACAAATTCCAGCGGCGTCGCAAGATTCCGGCACAACACGGGACGAGGCAGTTATCGGTTATAAGCTCCGACCGATTGGCGTAGGGAGTAGCGCCTGGGGTCTTGTCCGACGGTTGGAGAAGCCTTCGCAGCTTCATTGGGCAGCTACCGCCCGCCCCAAGCTTGACAGCCCCCAGCCAGTATTAAAGGTGCCGCCCCGCCATGGCATGCCTGCTCTATACTTGGTGCCTAGAGCTTAAGGGTCTCTCCCGACAAGCATGCGTCAACCTGCACCAAGCAGTCAAAAGAAGAAACATACGAAGACTCCAGCTCTTCGGTTTGCAAGCTGGAACGTTCGCACCATGTGCCACGGACTTACCGCTGATCTCCAACAACTGGACGACTCTCGCAAGACCGCCATCATCAATAAAGAACTGGCACGACTTAACATCGATGTTGCCTGCCTTCAGGAAACCCGCCTGGCTGACAGCGGCTCTCTTAGAGAATCAGGCTACACCTTTCATTGGCAAGGCCTGTCCCAGGACGAGTCCATGGCAGCATGGTGTAGGTTTTGCAGTGAGGAACTCGCTGATCCCCACCACATAGACCCCTACAGGAGGGTCCGAAAAAATCCTCGCCCTCCGCATGAAAACATCGTCGGGCTTTTTGAACATTCTTTCTGTGTATGCCCCGACCCTCACTCCCACCCTAGAAGCCAAAGATCAGTTCTACGCGGCTCTAGAGGAAGTACTATCTAGATTCCCCCGCTCCGAAGGCCTATTTTTGCTAGGCGACTTCAACGCTCGCGTCGGAGCAGACTTGCAAGTGTGGCCATCCTGTCTTGGCCACTTTGGCCTAGGCGTGATGAACGAGAACAGACAGAGGCTGCTGAAACTATGTTGTCACCACGGCCTCTGCATTACAAACTTCTACTTCAAGTGTAAAGAGTTGCAGAAAGTGTCTCGGAGACACCCTGTTCCCGTCACTGGCACTAGCTAGATCTTGTCATCACCAGGAGAGCGGACCTCAGCAGTGTTCACACGAGAAGCTATCACAGCGCTGACTGTGATACAGATCATTCCCTTGCTGCCAGTATTACGTCAGACTGAAGCCAAGGAAGATCCACCATGCCAAGACTAAAGGTTGCCCCCTCATCAACA